CCTCATCCCTTCCTCGTCTCCCCCCGCAACCTTGAGTGCCAGTGCGGCTGCTTGCCCGGCCCTGCATCGCCCCTCCGCGATCCCTCCACGTGATCCCGATCACCCTCTGACTCCCCTCGCGACCTCCCCCCGGCCCCCTGCCTCCCCTTGCGACCCCGATCCCGCTCCCCCCCTCGCGATCTGGATCACCCTCTCCCGTGATCCGATCCTGGCTGCCCGCCCGCTGCCCCCCTTGCGATCCCAACTATCCGGGCGCTCTGCCATCACTCCCCTGTCCCCTCCACCCCTCCGATTTCTCCTCTTCCCCGCCTCCCCCCGTCGTCATCCCCCGTCATCCCCCCGACCTCCCCTTTCCCCCCCCTCCCCCCGTCATCACCCGCCGGACCCTTTCGCTTTTCCTTTCCCTACCCCATGCCCCCCTTACCTCGTCCCTTCCTCGTCTCCCCCCGCAACCCCAAGCGTTAGCGCGGCCGCTTGCCCGGCCCTGCATCGCCCCTCCGCGATCCCTCCCCCGTGATCCCGAGCACCCTCTGACTCCCCTCGCGACCTCCCCCCGGCCCCCTGCCTCCCCTCGCGACCCCGATCAGGCAGCCCCCGGTGCCTGTCCAAAACCCGCCCCTTCACCATCCCTTCGACACGACGCGATCCCGACTCCCCGCGATTCACCCTCCCCTGATCCCGGCGATCACCCTCCCCCGAAATCCTGCCCCGCAAATTCCTGCATCCCCCCGCGATCTTCGGAGTGATCCCGATTGCCCCTCCCCCCCCTCTCCCTCCGCGTGATTCACCCTCCACCCTCCCCCGTAATCCTACCTTGTGAACTTCTYCTCTGATCGCCCGCCCCTACATCTGTCTCTTATACACATCTAGATGTGTATCCTCCGCGTGATTCACCCTCCACCCTCCCCCGTAATCCTACCTTGTGAACTTCTTCTCTGATCGCCCGCCCCTACATCATCCCCCCCGAATCCTATCCCCGCCCGCCTTATCCACTTTTCCCCCCCCCCCCCACCCTCAGCCAACAACAAGTGAGACAAGATGAAGGTCAGGCATCAGCGTGCCCACAGGAAACTAGATTCGATGCTCCTCTACAGGGGTGTGGCGAGACACTTTGCCTAGAACCGCCTACTAGGAGACAAGGGGAAAGATAGGGAGGTGAGGATGGACCTGGATCTCCTGCAAAA